TTGGATTCATAAACCTAGCAATTCAGAAAAAAAATAAAGATAAACATACTGAGCTCAAGCACTAAATTGACTGAACTCACTGTTGTTAAATTCTTCTTGTTGTGCCATATCCATTATCGAATGTTGGCGATCCTGTTTTTATCAGCAGCCGCACGAAAAAGTGCTGCTGAGTTTTGTCCAAACCACTCCCTTAGATATTGAAGTTAAATGGAGAGAGCCAATTATAGCCAAGCGTGCTTGAGACTATACTTCAAACTGGGCATTGTTATGGATTAAATAGAAAAGTGTAAAAATTATTTTATGTCCAATATTATTTATAATTTTGGACATACAATAATGCAATAATACATAAAATATTAAATAACTGAATTGCTGTTTTATACATAGCACAGAAATTAAAACATTAACCCAATTTCATCAAAAGGTATTTTAGAAATTACTTTAATGACGCAAAATAAATATTTCTGTGGATCAGTGGTGACCTCCAGTGGTTGCATTTGCTATTCTGTATGAATTTATAATCAAGCTGATTCTTATGAAATGTAAAAAATGCCTTCAACAGTATAATGCAGATTCAGAAAATAAATAGAAGAGGAAATTGAATGTGAGTGAAATGAACAAATTTGTTTATTTCTCTAAATTAGTTTTTCCAGCCTTTAAGTCTGAATTCAACTAGATCTGGTCCTCAGAAATTAAAGCCAGAGAGTTCTAGCCCACGGGCCCTAAATGATTGCTAAGTACCGTGTTTCCCTGAAAGTAAGACCTACCCCGAAAATAAGCCCTACTTTGGGGGGGAGGTGCACATCTAAAAAACTGGGGCGCGCAATCAGAGAGGGCGCGCAATCTGGGAGTCCTCCTGGATCCACGGCTGACACTGGAAGATCATTTGTCGGCCGTGACCAGGGGGGCGTTTTATCAGGTGCGCCTGATTTACCAGTTGCGCCCCTTTCTGGACCGGGACGCTTTGCGCACAGTCACTCAGGCTCTCGTCACCTCTCGCCTGGACTACTGTAATGCTCTTTACANACGAACTACCCCCCGAGATCCGGACGATTCCGGATCTCTTAACCTTCCGCCGCGCCCTCAAGACATGGCTTTTTCAACAAGCGGGCCTGACCTAGGGTGAGTTTTAAATAGGGATAATTTTTAACGATTTTAAAGTTTCAGGGGATTTTTAAGGACAATTTTAATTGATCGGCCTGTTTAAATATTTCTTCTTAATTCGACTTTTAATTATTGTATTTGTATTGTAGTTTTTATGAGGCTGTTAGCCGCCCTGAGTCCCATGAGGAGAAGGGCGGGGTATAAATTAAATTATAAATAAATAAATAAATAAATAAATACATGCCCTGGATCCACTTACCATTGCAGCCTGCCTCTCCTCGCCTACCCACCATTTCTGTGGCATCTCCAGGCCTGCATTTTGCAGTCGGAGGCTTTTCTGGAAGGCCTTTGTAGCTGAGAACAGCAGAAAGGCCTCTGACTGCGAAATGCAGGCTGGAGTCCCATTCTCAGCTGCAGAATGAAGCTGGTCCTTTGGCCGCAGAAGAAGTGGGCCGGCTGGCAGGGCTGTTGGTGCCGGAGGTGAGTGGAAAAGAAACCCTGTGGAAATAAGACCTGGTGCCTCTTTTGGAGGCAAAAGAAAAAAATAAGGCCGGGTCTTACTTTCAGGGAAACACGGCACCTCTACTCTAAGCAGGCCTAGGACAGCAGAAAAGGGACCCAGGAGACTTAAAGGCTGATTATATATTTTAGGGATCAATGGAACCAGGATTGTGCTGTAGTATTCTTTAACTACTTTTAAGAGCTTACAACCGTTTTTCTGTTGTTTTTACTTTTACGTTTTTGTTCTAAAATTACTTACATCATTTGTGTTACTGATAAGACTAAGCCTCAAATCATCAATAACCATTACTCATGTTGTTGGGTTTGTTGGTAATTATGGCAAGGTTCTGAAGTATTTTTTAGAATTAAAAAAAAACCCCAACCATGGCACAAAATGCCAGTTATTTTTCTGTAAAGATTGGTATCGCCTTTAATTATGTAAACTTGAAACAATGTGTGCTATGTATAATCCATGAATTTTCAGTCCTTCACTAAGATGATATTATCATAGCACCTTAATAATAAATCCACAGTACAGTATCTGAAATCTCCCTCCACTGTTTATACTTTTTTTGTTGAAACTTGATTTATGTTATATGAACAGATATCATATTTGTCCAGAAGTGATCAGAAGAGTTCATACTTCTATATGGGAAAGATGGAGCAGTATTTATTTGAATTCTAAATTTGGCAAAAGTTATATTTTTTTCAAGTTCTACCCTTTCCTTTCTGTTGCTGGAAAAATATTCTCTATTTTTTATATTATAACAAATAATAGAAACTATTAAATAGCTTGCATGCTAGTTGGTTCTCTGTATTAGGGTTGTGCTGAATGAATTCTACTCAGCATTGTCACAATGAACAACAGTTGATTGATCAGTAGTGATATTAATGAAAGATGTCTCACAGAGTCCAATACATGCTAGCCAGAACAATTTCTATATTTCCAATACTGATTATCTTTTTGAAGAACCTACAAATACTGGCTCTAATTCTTACTTTGGTTCTAACATTGATATTGTAAGCAAACAAGTATAGCAGAGATTTATAGAATGAAATTAAAGTCACTTTTGTGTTGATTCCTGTGATTATTTGGACATATTTATAGTTTTTATGGCATCAGTGCTAAAGTTTGCTGTTACTATCTTCTTCAACTCTTCAACCTAATCTACAGACCTGAGATTTCTTGCTGATCTCTCATTCAAAATCTATCTAAGTTCAACTTGCTTAGTATTTTTATGATCAGCTTAAATTAGTACCATGTTTCCCCGAAAATAAGACCTAGCTTGATTTTTGGGGTTGGGCCTAATATAAGCCTTACCCCCAAAATAAACTCTACTTAAGACTCCACCCACTCCATCCCACTGTATGTTTTTTGGCAGGCTGGATCACGTGCCTCCCCCCGCCTTGCCTGCTGCTGGTGCCACCGCTGTGAGGTGACCTGAATGTTAAGAAAGCCGGTGCCTGAGGCAAGCAGAAGCTGCCTCTTTTCTATCTCTGTCCTGGATTGGGGAATCGAGCGGGCAGATGGTGATGAGGACTGGCTGAGGCCTCAACCATCAAGTTCTCTCTTTCACCCTCACCCTGAAGCAGCCTCAAGAGGCAGTCAGCATTGCCCTGTGGGCTTTGCCAGCTTTCTCTTCTTCTGTGGAAGGGTGAGAAAGAAAGCTGGGCATCCCGAGTTGTCCCACTCTGGGAGGCAACTCAGGTTGCCCTCAGTGGGGGAGGAAGGCTTTGGAAACTGCCTTTTTATTTACATTCATCATCAATATTGTAATCCGTCCCTTTATTTTTTTTTAAAAATGATTTGTATTTACCATAATTAGCTTCCTTGAACGCCAATGGCAAGGCGCAGTGTGAATTCTGCGCATGAGCCGCAGAAATACAGACACTCACATCCTCATAATGCTTCCTCACTCGTGGTGCATCACTGCTTTACAGGTGCGTTCAACTTTGTGGCTCAGCTAAACTCTTCAGCTGCAGTGGGCTGCAGTTCCCATCACCTTCAGGAAGCCTGGGCAATGGAAACCTTAGTCCAGGTTCCTTGCAGCTGAAGCAATCCAGCTTGCCCAGGATCAAATTGGCCATCATGGGAGGCATGGCCCATCCCTGTGGTCCAGCTCCACCACACATGCAGGATGAGCCTTCTGCGATGCCCAGCCTGACCCTGGGCAAATCAAATTGCTTATAGGGAGAGGCTGCGCGTTGCAGGAGGACGAAGCACACAAACTCCGCTGTTTTCGGTAGCATTTCGGTGCCTGGCTGGCCACCTCAGATCAGCTGCAATGTGCCGTGGAGAGGATGGCTGAGATTGGGGGATAGTCTATCCCCATTCATAGCATGGCTGCCATACAATCGCCTTGTTTCCTCTCAGGAGGTTAGCATCAGCTGCCAATGCAGCAGTGGGAAAGGAGAAAGGCAGTCCCGCCCATCAGATCAGCCTAGTGGAGCTGGGGTGGAGTGGGAAACTGAGGGTGACAAAAATAGCACTTGGAGCCTCCAGGAGCTGCAGGGATCCGTGGGCACCCTTTGCAGTTGTTCTCCTGCAACATGCAGCCTCTCCCTGTAAGCAATCCGGCTCGCCCAGGGTCAGGCTGGGAAGCTCTTCCCACATGTGCGGCAGAGCTGGAGGATGGGGATGGGCCATGCCTCCTGTGATAGCCAAGCTGACCCTGGGCGAGCCGGATTGCTTCAGCTGCAAGGAACTGGCCTAATGTTTCCATTGCCTAGGCTTCCTAAAGGTGATGGGAACTGCAGCCTGCTGCAGCTGAAGAATTTAGCTGAGCCACAAAGTTGTGTGCACCTGTAAAGCAGTGGTGCGCTCCGAGCGAGGAAGCGATGTGAGCTTTGAGGATGCAAGTGTTTGTATTTCTGCGGCTCATGCGCAGAATTCACACCACGCCTTGCCATTGGCGTTCAAGGAGGCTAATTGTGGTAAATACAAATCTTTTTTTTTTTGAAAAAGAAAGGGATGGATTACAATATTGATGATGAATGTAAATGAAAGGTAGTTTCCAAAGCCTTCCTCCCCCACCGAGGACAACCTGAATTGCTTGGGGGGGGCATCAGCCAGGCTGGGTCTTGTGATGAAAAAATAAGACATCCCCCCAAAATAAGCCCCAATGGGTCTTTCGGACCAAAAATAAACATAAGACCCGGGCCTATTTTCGGGGAAACACAGTATATGCTGTATCTTATTTGACAGGTTTAGATTATTTTTTTAAATGGAGCAGAGAGAAGTAAAAAAAAATCTGAAAGTTCATATTCTGGAATCAGATTTTATTAAAGTTTTCAAAAACAATTTTTAGATGTTTTACTTTGCATACCATAATAATACATTTCTTCTTTATTTGTATGCATTCAATAACAATATCTTATTTTTCATATATTTGTAGGTTCTAGGATTGCTAGTGTGGATGTTGATTGCCGGAACAGACTATTTCCTATACCCTGTCTTTGGATGGATAATGTTTGTGGCTGTGTTTTACTGGATTCTTACACTCTTTTTTTTGATCGTCTATATGACAATGACCTATACTAGGATACCTCAAGTGCCATGGACCACAGTTGTGAGTACATGTTTGTTTTTTACAGGCAACTCAAACATATATTGCAAAAAAGAGGAACCTGTCACCTTCATACAGATCCATTGCAGCCTTTTGACACTTCCCAGAACATTTCTGTAGTGGATGAGGCCATAATATTTGGCTTTGCACTGTTAAATTAAGGAGATGGAAGTAGAAGCTTATGCAGATCCCTTAAGAAAACACACAACACATTGTAAGTGGAGCAGTATTTCCCATTTTGCAGGGAGACTCCCAAGCATTTTTATTGGCTAGACCAACCTACGGCAACAGTTCTGCTGGCATAGCATCATTTTATGAAACACTCCATAGCATCTGAGCCAGATTTTTTTTAAATATTGGTTTGGCAAGGGAGGATTAGTTAGGAGAGACTTCAGATTAACCTCTAAATTAGCCTCTAAAAGAATATATGCAAGAAGCTTGACTTCCTCTCCCTTTTCTGATAAATTATAATTTCCCTGGCATTAGTGCATTGAAAAGCAGCATACTCCAATTTAATCCACTGTTTTGCATGCCAAAATCCATTGTTACTAACTCAAAATCACTGTCAAGGCAGCAGGCAGCAGGATATATACACAGAAAAAATTGAGAACACCAGTCTGACTGCATATACCTTCTGCCACGTTCACTTTGACTTATTCCAGCCATTGTGATCTTCAGCCCTGCCAGAAACCTTTAAGTGTTGTTCTTAGTCACTGCTTGAGTCAAATATATGAGGGTTACCATTTCACTATTCTCCTGCAGTCACCAGTGTCTTAGATCATCCTGGTATCACATGAAGCTGTGTACACAATAATGAGAAGAATACAGCCTGTAAATCTTATTTAGGGGAAAGATTTTCCTCTTTTAATCGGTAGTTTGGAGGCTTTTCTCACCAGCAAACCTACTTTGAGAAATTATATTCCTTAAGCTATTATTTGAGACAAATACTTAGCTACAGAGGCTTTGCCCCCAACATGATGTTCTTCAGATATGAGGGAATACATCTCCTTCACGCTCAGCCAGACTGGCTTTAAACTGGGAAATGATACAAAATGCATAGAATAATGTTTGCAGGGGGGAGAAATACTGATTTTTTTTTTCCTACATCCTGTAGGGTCTGTATTTTAATGGCAGTGCCCTCCTCTTGTATTTAATTGCTGCTATTTCAGAAGCATGTGCAGTCACCAAAGAACTTGACTACCACAATTATAATAGTTGGGCAGCATCTTCGGTAAGATCATGTTTAAACTTAATATCAGCAGTGAGGGAAAGAATGTTTATTTGCTTTGGTTCATTTACCTCCAAAATCAGATATAAGATTCAAGTTAACTGATAATAACCAGACACTCTTAAAATTGTACTTACTTTTTGTTTAAATACTACTTAATTCCTGCTTTTTTTCCACCTAGCAGTGTGCTAATGGCCACATCAAGTAAGGTTTTTGGATTATATCACATATGAAATAAATAATTGCTGTATTCATTAATAAGGAAAAGAGTTTTCCTTATTTAATTGCTCTGCTATTTGGACCTTGGGATGTAGAGCTGAAATCTGAAAAAGATTCCTGTGCAGATGGTAGATTGATCCACTTTTCTACCTTTATGTGGAAATGCCTACTGTTGCAGATTTTATAGCCGAGTTTACTATAAAACTAAATTCCTTTGAGTAAAACTAAACTCTCCATAGAGAGCCAGCTAGGTGTAGTGATTAAAGCATCAGGCTAAAAACCAGGAAATGGTGAGTTCTAGTCCTGCCGAAGTGATTGGTCTAATAATTGTCTCCCAGTCCTAGAAAGGAGGTAGTGGCAAAAAATCTGGCCAAGAAAACTGCAGTGATAGTCTAGGCAGTTGCCAAGAGTCAAAAACTGACTCAAAAGCATTTAAAAAAAATGTCTTCTGTCTTTACTTAAGTAAACAGCCTACAGCCCTGGGATTTTTAGCTAGTCTACCATTCAAGTACTGATCAGGTCTAACTTTGTAATCTTGCCATTATCAATCTAGGTTAGGTATATTCTAAAGCAGGGGTGTCAAACCTGATCACATCACAGGCTGTATTGTGACGTATCAGGATTTGTTTTGACCTTGCAGGGCCGGGGTGGGTGTGGACTGTGCAGGCTGGATGCGGGCCACGGACTGCGTGTTTGACATGCCCGTTTTAAAGTATAAAGTGGCTGATTTGCTCTTGGCTTAGAAGATAATTGTGATTTATGGTAGCTTATTAACTAGGCCACTATGGTTTGTGCAACAAATTGTGATGTAGAATGATGGAGGCAGGTAGATATGGTCTTACATTCCTCCCCTTGTCTTTCCATGGAGGGAATATTATAATGGTTAAATTCACATAATTATGTTCCTGTGGCAGATATATATGCACAAGTCATTACTGTTCTCAATAGATCATGCTTGGGTACTGTAAAAATGTTGACATCCCATTGATTATTTCATTTTCCAACTCCTTTCATCTCTTGCTTTTATTCCAGGATAGAAAAGTCTTCCTACCTAAAATATTGTTATTCCTCCCAAAATAACTTCTAAAAATAAAACTGCTAGAAAAGCCAAATTCTTATTTTGGAGTTATGCATGAAATTCAGTATTTGGAAAATGCTTGAGTCACATGGCAATTAGGCTGCTTTGGAAACCAAACAAACACATAAAATGGTTTGTTTTCTTCATGAGAAGAAAAAAGTATTGTTTAGCCTTTCATGCTATAAATATATGGCTGAGTATGTGGAAAACCCTAGGTAAAATGTTAGAACCTATGAATAATGGAACAAGGATAAACACTGTAGATGAGATTTATTTTTGAGGAACATCTAAGTTTCAATTTACTTTTTGTTTACTGAGAATATCAGTTCTCCAACCTATTGGACTGTTAGATACAAGACTATTTAATAAATGTTTATTTTCTTTTCCCTTACAAATTAAATCAGAATTTGCAGTGTTCAGCCACAGTTAATATAAATAAAGTACCATGGAAACAAACTTGTTAAATACGTACAAAACAGTAAAAAAGCAATATTATTTAACTTCCAGTTAACAGCAACCAATAATGTCACTTGTTTTCACTAATGTCAATATGGAATTGTTATTGCAAGGATCATCCTAATACTATGAACACATTAAGGCTCAATAATATTTCTTCCACAGAATTTAGTGTCTTGCTAGGAATGGAAACAATGTGATATTAAATTTATTTTTATACTATCCCTTCTATTATACTTAAATATAAATAAAAATCTGGCTGAAGATGTTTACTGTTTTCTAATCATTTTCTTTCTCTCCCCCCCTCCCCCCCCCATGCAGTTCTTTGCCTTCGTTGTTGCTTCCTGCTATGGTGGAAATACCTACTTTAGTTTTGTATCTTGGAGATCACGGACCTTGCAATAAGTATTTTCTTCTAATAAAAGAGATCTGTGTGTTTGTTTGTAAATGTTATATAATTTTGATGAAAATATTTAGGTAATAATGGTTTTCACTCAAAAGTAAAAACAAATGGGTTTTTTTTGCAAATTATGGAAAGGGTAGTTCACCTGACAGAAATGGTTCTACACACAGTTCTCTTAATTAACTTCTTCATTTGAGTTAATCATTGTGACACAGCTCAGTTACCACAAACAAGAAGCAGAAGGAAGAATTGATGGTATAGGAGGGAAGAGAAGAAAGCATAGAAAGCCGTTCAGTGTTGTTTCCACTCCGGTCACTTCCGTACAATATTGTGCCTCTCTGAAAGCTGCTCCAGATCTCAGGATTCTTGTCAATAGTGTTGAAGAGCATTGTATAACCAGCGCCACCATCTGATGGGATTGGTTTAAAATCTGAAAGCTTTTTTAACATGAAAAACATGTATCCTCAGATAAAACACTGTTAACCATAACATGTTACTCTTTGTATCAATGCATATAATTTCCTTAGATAGTGTATACTGTTGTAACAAAATCAGTGGACTTCACAATTGTTTTCTTCATAAATGTTCTTGTTTAATCATGATTTATTTATTAGCAAAATCTATTGTTTTATAGAACCATCTATTATTTGCAAATGTATATAACTTTCAAGGCTGCAGATTTATTACAGTTAGATATAGATGGGAATAGTTAATAATTCATTGGGGCACATACATTTATGGAAGTAACTGAATAAAAGAAATGCATTACTATAATAATCTTGTATAAGTCTGTAAAATGATCACATTTAAAATACTGTGTTCTATTCTAGTAACTGGACTTCGCTTTAGATCTGGAAAAGATGCAGAAAAAAGAATTAAACTGACCAGGGACATGAATAATTTCATTTAAAGGGGTTATTTTTAAATCATTTTTCTTAAATGATAAGCATGTGGTACATGGTGTAATACTGAAAAAGCAGGTAACAATTTCTCTGTTTCTCACAATGCTAGAACTGAAGATTATCTTATGACTCCGAATGGTATAAGATTTGGGGCAGACAAATAGGAGAGATTGTTCCAAAGAGTACATAGCTGAACTCTGGAATTTACTCTTGTATGGTGTGAGGATGGCCATCTTAAACTATTGTATAAGGAATTAAATAAATTCAGAAAGGATAGAGGTGCCCAGTAGGAGATCATATGCTGCTGGCAGCATTCTCCTGAAAACTAGTTGCTGGGAAACATCAGTGAAAATGTTAATAAACCTCTATAATTTGAATTTTCAATAATCAGGAATCTATACCTTAGATTTAATATCAGTCACAACATTAGTATAAAGATAGCTCCATTTTGAGATCCATCTATGTAGTGCAGTGATATAAAATGCCTGACTACATCTGGAAGATCAGGAATCAATCCCACTATCAGTCCTGGCTGACTTTGGTTCATCTTTTAGGGTTACTGTTATGGAAAAACATGTAAATTGAACTTGTGTGGGAAAGTTTTGACATAAAAACATGAATACTGTGGAAAGTTTAAAAATGTCATCATGCATGCTCTCACTTCCTGAGGTTCTTCACATTTTTATTGTATAAAAATGGTTTGCAGCTAAACTACCTTCCCTTAAAAGCAAAAATCATTTATAGACTTAGGGGTCATTCTTGGAGTTTTTACATGCAACCAAAGAAGCGAAACAAATATATTCACCCTCTAGGGATCTGAACAAACAAAATTCTGCATCAGTGGAACACAATTTCATCACCTAACACTGTCAAAAATCAGCATTAATATTCCAAAGTTACTGCAACAGAAGCCTATGGTTGGGGGGAGGAAGAACAAAAGAAAAAATTATAATTTTAGAGAACATTTTCTTGAAATTTATCATGAAACTATGAGTTTGCTCTTAGAAATACCTGCAACAAACTTTTTAAAAAAATGATGTACTCATCCATATTAAGCACAGAAAGGGGGGACACTTTTCTTAGAAGATGCCTATTTTTGGTATATTTTATTTAAATGTAGAACTTGCCAGCTTGGTGTAGTGGTTAAGGAGCTCGGCTAGAAACCAGGAGACTGAGTTCCAGTCCCACTTTATGCTTGAAAATCAGCTGGGTGACTGGACCTGTTAATCTCTCTCCTTCCAATCCACCTCCCAGGATTATTGATGTGGGGAAAATGGGAGAAGGAAGTAGTATTATGTATTTTTACCCCCTTAAGTTACTTATAAAATAAAGGTGAGATTAAAAAAGAAATCTAAAAAAAATAAGAAAATCTTGTCAATCTCTGGCTGGGGAATAATAGCACAACAAAATAACACACACATACATATAAATTATATGTATTAATTACCAAACAACCCATAATTGCAGACTATGAATACAAATTCCTAAAATATGTTCGAATTGTGTCAGATTGAAACAAACCCTCAACTAGACTGGATGGCTTTTACTTGCTTCTGAAAATGCAAGAAAAATGATCCATGGGGTGGGGGAACATCAGCGGGGAAGGGCTACCCCAGTGATGGTGAACCTTTTAGAGACCGAGTGCCCAAACTGCAACCCAAAACCCACTTATTTATCGCAAAGTGCCAAGGCTGCATCAGCATTGTGCCCTCAGGGGAGGTGGGGGCATGGCCCACTGGGTGGGCATGGCTGCAGTGGTCACGGCAGATTGGGTGAGCGTGGCATCCCCAGGGTGCCAACCCTGCTTGCTCACTCACTTCCTGCCCTGTCACTTCCAAATGCCACGTACTCACTATTCTGGCGAACTCTGCTGGGGCAACAGCGTGCGTGCCCACAGAGAGGGCTCTGAGTGCCGCCTCTGGCACGCGTGCCATAGGTTCACCACCACTGGGCTACCCCATTGTTGATGCCCAATGTACTTCTCATGAAGGAATCTTTAACAAATCCTTTCTGGATGTCTGAGCTGGATGGACAGATTTCATTTTGGCAAGCTGGTGCCTATTGTGTCCCAGAGTTGTACAGATCTCTGGTTAACCTCACTTCTTTTCTCAAATAGCCAGCAAGCTAGTTCATTCTGATTATGTTATTAAAGACTATGATAGATATGAAAAAATTAATTGTCATAAGTTAAGATCAGCAGGCTACGTTTTTTTAAGTGGACCCATTTCTAAATAAAGCTTCATGCCAGGAACTACACTGAGTATTTTGTGGGACATTGAATTTACAATCTATAAACTTTACCCATGTTCATGGTAAAGTTTTTTATAATGTAAATGTTCTTTAATTTTATGAACATTAAAGAAGTAAAATAACTAGATACCTCACTGAAGCACCATAATTCTTAAAATTTAGCACTAATGCAGTACCATCTGAAAACCTAGCATAAAAAGAAACAAATCAATTTTGTCTTCAATTCTGTCATCTTCAAACAAATCCAGAACCAACCAAAATACATTGAACATGAATTTGGAATTTCTTCCCTAAGAATTTCAGAATTAGTGTGACAGTCATGGCAATATACAATTAAAAACTTCACAATTCAGCCTGAAAATGTATTAGTCAGGCTCTTCAATTTAATCCACCCACTGACATTTTTATGTGTAAAAATGCAGAGTGCACAACATATATTATCTCTAAGTAACTTGAAGGAACAACCAGATTAAAATATATGTGAAATTAATTACATTAAATTGTCAATAAGTAGCAAAATCATTCTAGGCTAAAGGAAGCCCATATAGATTGTACAGTCAGCAGGTGGTAGTATCTAGCTAACCATGTCTAAAATAGAAAAACCAACCATGGTATTTCTGATTATTAGATAGTTGAACATGAGACTACCAGAGAATGTCAAGGCTTCTGGCTATGGAAAATTGAAAAATATCTTGGAAGGTGATTGTGGCAAATTGTTTACAGTATATGCTATTTCTGAGAAAACTGCATTGATGTGTCCATCAAATCGCCAGTAGTCAAGGTTGATTATAGATCTTTTTTTAATGTCATGCTCTCAAATCACAGTTAATTGCCAGTTAGCAATTATTTTATTTAATCCCTATAGTTGGGGTAAGGCTCTATAATTTTGGTACACCTTGAGAAATTCATTTCTTGAATTCTCAGCTTTAGTTTTAGCTATGTCGGAGTCCTGAAGCTTCTTTCAGATGCCACATACTATGTAGTGAATCTCAGTAAGGGAGCATTGCCAGTGGATATGGAGTTCCATGACAGTAAGATGGGCGGGTGAATAAATTTAATAAATAAATCCCTATAGTTGACCATACACATTCATTGTTTTATATTTCTGCAGACTAGCCACTTCCAAAAGTATGACTGCAATTCCCAGAATCTGTATCTATTATGTTCTTTATAATTGGAAAATCCAAAGCTGGAGAAGGGGCAGATCTAATTTACACTCTGTGGGATCAGGCCAAGGATCTGCTTCAACATTGGCACCCAATTATATGATAAATCTACTCTTAACTTATACTGACTTTTCTTTTAAAATAAATGGCACCACTTGAAATCACTTCTAGATTTCTTGGTATTCAGAACTATTTGCTTTAGATATCTGATTTGTACTTATACTGACAACTTCTATAAGACATTTAGGAGAAAGACCCTCTTAACATCTGCATTATAATTTAACTTTTATATGAGCTATTCTTGTTTATTTGTCCCAACAGGTTTAAAAATACTCTAGGACAGTCTTAAACTTGCAGAATGCCTATAAAACCTTGCAACTCCAACCAGCAGTTTCTTTTGCTCTTCCATTGTTTTGCTTTGCATGAACATGAAGAGTTCTTTTTTTAAAAAAAAGTGTTTTCATATCTTATTAGCCTAATAATGTAGTTCTAGTTTTTATTTCTCCCCAGCTCTTGCTTTTGTATAATAGTTGCCCATCCTCTTTAGAAAGCCTTTCGTAGCAGCACATCAGCAGCAGCAGCCCCGAAGCATTTCACCACCTCTTTCCTCGCCACCAATTTAATGGACTTCCTGTTTATCGTATATGTGTGCAGAGAGAGGAGGGGGCCCTTTTCTTCCATCTGCCACCTCCTCCTTCCTGTTTTACCTTCTCTCCCTCTCCGCGTATCGAGCACCGACGCAGCACTGGGTTAAGGCGCCAGGAGCCCCCTCCCCGATATGATCCCTTCCCCGGAGCAGCATCTCCGCCCTTCCACCTTACTCCCGTGGCTTTAGTGAGGAGCTGGCCCGGGCCTGTCTCCTCGCCCGGCTCTAACTGCACAAGAGGACCCTAGCCAGAGAGTTGCCGGGCCCCGCCCCGCACTGTCCCGCCTCTGGAGTTAAGGAGTGTCGCAACAGTTCTGGTGGGGGGGAGTAAATTGCCCCCATTCGTTCAGAAAGGTGTTGGATATATCACGGCATGCGGGTCATCCGTACCGATGCCAGCAGCGGGGGCGCTCCCAGCTCTTCTGCTCCACCGCCCGTTTCCTACGGGCCGGACACCGGACTATTCGACAGAGGCTACGCGGGCTCTTGCTCTGCCATGCTGAAAGTGGCCCAAATGGTAAGGATGAGACGGGCGGTCCCAGAGACGGGTGCGGGGAAGTTTGAATGTTTCGCCAAACTGCGGGAGCAACTGCGCCTTCTGTCCGAGTTTCGCTAGGATTTGTTTGCCTGTTGGGCGTTTCCCAGAAAGGGCAGGAAGATTTTGCATTGCCCAGCCAACTACAGCTGAGTCTGCGGGCTGCCTTCCTCAGGGCGGGCACCGCGCTGCACGTGTTACCCCAGTTCCCGCCAGGAGTTGATTGGCGACAAAGTCCCCCTGAAAGCAGGGCGGGGAGGGGTGTTGAGGCGAAGAGGGGAGCGCAGCTGGGAGATCTGGGAACTGTCCCTTCCGACTCTTCAGAGAGGCAGCGCTGCTCTTTCGTGCAGATTTTGGCCAGTGTCAAGTTCTGTTTTAATTCTATATTGAGTCTCTCCAGGCAGCTCAGAACAATGTGCCAGACTTAGCCCACACACTTGAGAAGAGGGCCGCTTAAGATTTTTAAAGGAAAGCTAATAGAATAAATAACTAGAAAGAAATCGCAGCACTGTGAGGCAGAATACCCCAATTTATTATGCCCTTTTTTAATGATTGCAGTCCTCTCAATAACTAACCTGAGTTATTGTTTGTAGCCTGCATAGATTTGTTATTTGTTTATTTAACAAATTCATCTTGAGAACTACATTGAGCATTAGAGACTTGTCTTTCAGGAGCTGAAAATATAATCTCTAGGCTTGAATTAGAAATGCAAACAATTTTGGACAGGTAAGTAACCACACAAATTGCACACTAGGGACTATTTTAAAAAGGTGTTCAGCCATCCCTGCTTGATTATCCTTATTTACTAATTTCCTTCATTTCGATCTGAAATAAATAGGGCATTTTAGTATTCCATTAACATTTCAATCACTTGCTTGAAGAAAAAGGGTCTGTTAACTACTTCCATGCTGCAGCAGAGGCTGTTCCCACTTCTCTCTGGAAAAAATCTGGACCTGCACACCCAATGGTTTCCCAGCAGGAAACAGAGGATTGTTCTAGACCAGGGTTAGGCAACCTTGGCTCTTTTATGACTTGTGGACTTCAATACCCAGAATTCCTGAACCAGCCATGCAGACTCAGGAATTCTGGGAGTTAAAGTCCACAAGTCATAAAAGAGCCAAGGTTGTCTACCCCTGTTCTAGACACTGGAAAGTTCATACCTCATTCTACAATATGAACTGTTTAATTATGTTTGATTGAATAAGCTTATGCAATATTTCAAGCAGAACCCAAACAAATCACACTATAATTTAAATCTGGGATAGGCAGGCATCTCCAAGGCCACAGGGACCTATGGGTCCCTTCATTGCATGCCTCATAATCTCTTCTATTCACTACTACTGAAAAGTGATGGCAGTTTCCCACTATTTTGTGATATAGAACGCACCTAGAGTTTTAATTTATTTTCTAATTGATTAAACATGATTTAAGAAAGAAATCCTATACAAAGAAATACTGTAGTAGACAATGGATTAATCTTCCAACAAAATGAATGGGAGATGGAGTGTAAGGGGAACGGATGTGAAAGTAAGTTTGAGTTTATATCAGACAAGTAATACGCAAACTGCACTTTTTGCTTTTCAGGGAATCACTGAAATATATTCATGTATATAAGTAAAATTTTATTATATCATGAAAATAAAGATTAAGGTGGGTGCAGGAGGACAAGAAAAAAAAGTGAAGAAAAAAATGTTGTTTTCTGACTATTTTCCAACACAGTAAAATATTACTGAATTACGACCAACTTTTTATATTACTTACAATTATTACAAACCAGTTCTATAACTGCACAATTATTAAACCTTCAAGTTCTAATTTATTTTTTATTTCAAGCCTAAAAACCAGAAGCCATATCCCATTATAAACAAGACCAAATAAAATAAGATCTCTTTCTTTGAAATAGTTTGCCATCTTAACCAAATACAAACCAATTTTATTATTTTTATTATTTTTTAATTTTTGTCACAAACCTTAGTTCATTTTGAGCCTTATCTTTTCTGATTCCATTTTTACAGGTTTGGGTATTTATTGTTATTTTGCCTTAGTTATGTGCTCTTTCCACTTTTTATACTTGTCCTTTTTTGTCTTTCAGTTTATCAGAAAGTTCTTTGTGCAGCCATGCTGGTTTCTTTTGAGATCTCTTATTTTTCTTCATTGGAATTATGATAGACTAGGCTTTTATACTCTCACTTCCAGAGTTTTCCAATCTTCTTCAGTTGTTTTCCCTTGAGAATTCTCATCCATGGTATCCTTCCCAAGCTCTCTGAAAGTTTATTGAAATCAGCTCTTTTGAAGTCTAAGACTCTAGTTTGACTTTGTTCTATTGCTTGTGCTTGCATAGAGTTGAATTCCAACATTGCATGGTCACTCCCCCCCTCCTCCCAAGTTTCCTGTAACTTCAACGTCTTCCATCATTTCATCTCTGTTAGTGAGAATTAAGTCCAGTATGGCTGACCCTCTAGTTCCCTTTTCTACCTTTTGGGTGACAAAGTTGTCTGCTGTGCTTGACAGGAATCTATTTGATCTTATTTACAGCATTTGAAAACTTAACAGTATTTGAAAGTTTCTGCATTACTATCCCAAAAGATAAGACTTTGTCAATAGAGTAAAATTACTGGTAATTTTCTCTGATTGTTATCAAGTTCAACTTGTGGTTAAAACAAGAAGCTTAAATACGTGTTTCCTGTTGCAAAGAAAACTAGAAAGTGAGAAATTTTACAGTCAACTATTTCCTCTAAACTAAACAAAAAAATAAATGGCATTGCAAAATCTAAAGAAACACCATACTTGGCATTTTTAAGAATTCAATCTCTTATTACGGTCACAAATCAGGCATTTGAAGATCTAGAACCGTGGTGGCGAACCTATGGCACGCGTGCCACAGGCGGCACACGGAGCCGTCTCTGGTGGCACACGAGCCATTGCTGGGGCGAGCTGTTCCCTCCTCCTCTCCGCGCATGCGCAGCTTTCCGCGCATGCGCAGTCTGGGAATAGGCGAGAGGCTATAAAAGGAGCAACTTTCGGCGGAAGCAGCATTTGCTGCAGACAGCGAGAGAGCGAGCACAAGTCGGAGCGGACACCGAGCGAGCACGAGCCAACAGCTTGATGGCCACGCCCACTCAATGTCCACGCCCACCCTGCACCCAGCGATGCATAAGTGGGTTTTGGGTTGCAGTTTGGGCACTCGGTCTCTAAAAGGTTCGCCACCACTGATCTAGAAATTATGTGTTGCTGAAAATTATAGTTATCGCATTATTACTGTCTTATTGAAAATCCATATTACTATGTGTCCTGAGTTATGTTCAGCCTCTTCAAGATTGAAGGAATGAGTGAATTTCTCCAAGTTCCCATCTCTTTCAATTGTTTTAATTCCTTTAATAAATTGTGCACAGCAAGTGACAGTATCTAACCAACTTTACCTATCTTGAAAAAGTTCAGCAGGATTAGCGATGATGGCCCTTAAATGAGAGCATCTGAAAATCTCAATGTTGTGAATTAGATGGAGAAATTTAAATAACAATTTTGGAAGAGGACAATGTCACAATTCATGAAAATATGTCCATCTAGTCATTGTGATCTCAGCAGTTCTTGGGTAGAATCTTTAATAAAATAGAATAGAATATCCCACTTTTTCTAAATGCCTTTGTTCAAAGAGGAAAAAGAAACATTTTGCATCCCTATCATGTCAGGTGAAAATTAATTAAACATCACATTTACATTTACATTTATTACATTTATACCCCGCCCTTCTCCTGGTGGACTCAGGGCGGCTTACAGCCAATTTAAAACAAAACAATCAATACAATATACAAAATTTAAAATGTAATTAAAAAGAAATATTAATATGGGCCTTTTCTTCCTTTTTTTAAAAGTTATTTAAAAACCAAATTTAAAATACCCCTTAGGCCAGTCCTGCCAGCTG